AAAAAAATCGTATTTGTTGCTTCAATCGGGAGCGACGAGCGACGCAGGGTGTTGCAAGAAAACAGCTGTTGACGGGTGGAGGCGGATGCGCCGGGATCGGCGAAGGTGGGATCAATAAAAAGAACTTTTATTCCTGAATGCAGCAGCACGTAGGCAACCAGCGACACCTTTATTACGTACGAACGTTCACATAGCTTCGACGAGCACCCTGAGCAGATCTTTCTGTTTGGCGTTCAGCTGATCGCAGGCCCAGAGCTCATCCTCGAGGGCGGACAGGCCGCTCGTGTCCCCCGACTGGCACGTCAGTACGACCGACTGCAGCAGCAGGAAGAGCTTTGCGGACATGCGACTCGCTACATGAAACAAACAGAAACAACAATTCACACAAAAGCTGCAGTCTTTCTTTCCACTTCTACTTCTATTGTTTCACCTGAAATGTTCTTATTGTCGCCCCAGGTATACTTTTCGAGGAGTTGCGCCAGGTCGGGCGAGAGGCTCTGCGGCGCCGGCCTCAGAATGAGAACCAGGAACAACCTGCAGATCTCGCAGTCGAGCAACAGGTCGCAATTTATGTCGCAGCTGGGCCCCTTCACAATCAAATTCGACATCTCGTTGAATCCCTCCAACGCCGAGCAATAATCACCTGCAAAACAACCATTAAGTCAAGTCAGTAAAAATAACTTTTCAATTAACCTTCGTCAATGTAATGATAGCATAGCCGTTGCAGACTGAACAGTTTCGTGTCGTAGGCGTGGTCCGATATATCGCAGACCGCCCTCAAATACGATTCGCTGCACGCGGATTTGCCCCGCCTCTTCAGCGTCTCCGCAATCTCCAAATTAAGTCCTGCGATAAATGGGCAATTCTCGGGATATCTGCTCGCAGCGTGCGCGTAACAATTCAATGCCGCCTTTGTAAAAAGAACAAATTATATTTTAAAAAACATGCATATTCAAAATTACTAAGTAACCTGTAAATTTTCAGATGATGGACTTGGACAATTCAATCTATCATTTCTATCTTCTGCCTCAACAAATTGCCTGGCAGATCTCACCAAGCAGGCAGCCTCTCCAGGAATGTTCCCCAAGGATCCTTCACATCTGGCAGCTGCGATCCAGCATAATCCTGCATACGAAGGCATTTCCACCGTTTCACAGTGCTGCCCCAAAGAGGTAAAAGATTCGCAGGCCTCAGTGACATTGGGTTTTCGCAGAAACCTCCTGCAAATTTAATTAATTTATATGTTGGTGTATCTAATTTTGATCACATTACTTTTTCAATTTATTCGAGATGTTTCTGTACTGATCCAAAATATCGTTTCCCGTTGATTCAGTTCCCATGTTTACAATTTACCACTCGAATTTATGATTTATGCCACCTTCTTATTGCAATTAGTTGAAACGAAACGTATTGCATTTGCAGTCAACTTCAGTTTTATTATGATTTTAAAATATGCCACAAAATTTATAAACAATAATATTTATATTTGCTTTATCATTTGCTTTGATTGAATTTATTTTTAATTCATACAAAGTAAATGCAAACATAATTGAATTGTCGTTGATTTTGGAAATAGTTCAAATGCATCGTGCGCAAGTATCATCATCATACGTAACTAACTTCACTAATATTATGGTCGTTGAATCCAATGCTACAAGTTTAAACATGTACGAGTTTCGTATAGTCTAATTTCGTTTAATTTAAGTTCGCAGTTAAGTTAAGAAAGTGTTTGCAAGATGTTGGGCGGTCCATCGTTCAAGAATCTGACGAGCCCGGATTTCGGTACTCCGCCGAAAGAACAGAATGTCGTGAGTAGCAGAAACACGTGCGATTTTTAGGTTATAGTTATGACTTATTGTTCATTTGTTTTTGCAGCTTCTGCAGCAGTTGGGATACCCGCAGGTGGCCAGTTTCAATTACATGCTGAGCACTGGACTGGATCTGGCCATAAAGGATTTGAGGCCGTTGGATATTGTGGCAAATGGGGTGAAAGTGAAGGTGTCGATTGGCAAAGCCAAAATATTTGCACCCTCTGTGTCACAGAACTCTATGAATGTGACTGTGAAGAGTGTATATCCTAATGCGTGTCGTCAGGCCAGATCCACATACAAGGGACCGATGCTTGTGTCTCTTGATTGGTCAGTCAATGGGGCTGCACAGGAACCGTTGGAGGTGAACATGGGCGAGGTTCCCATCATGTTGAAGGTATTTGTTTGTTCGCATTGATTGTCGCTTTAAATAACTAATTGTATCGTGTTTTAATTAGTCAAATCGGTGTCATCTGAATATGATGAACCCGAAGCAGTTGATCGAGAGCGGCGAGCACGAGCAAGAATGGGGCGGGTACTTTGTGACGAAGGGGCTGGAGAAGTTGATTCGTATGATGTCGCTGATGAGGCGAAATTACCCGATCGGCATCAATCGTAGTTCGTTCACGAAACGCGGACCTCTCTTCTCCAGTCTGGGTGTTGTTATCAGATCCACCAAGTTGGATCAATCTGCTGTGGTTAGTACATTGTGCCGCTATTATTGACTTAATTGTATCGAATTGAAAACTAATTTAATTTCAGCTGAATATCTTGCATTTCTTGACCGATGGCACCTGCAAAATGATGTTCCGCGAGAACAACAAGAACATGTACCACGTACCGCTTATCTTGCTTCTCAAGTGCATAACCGATGCCAACGATAAGTACATTTTCACCAGACTCATGGAAGGATACGAGGATAACAGTTATTACGCTGAGTAAGAAATATTGCGAATCCTGTTGTTGTTGAGTCTATAAGTTTTATGTTTTTAGGTGTGTGCAGAACATGATGAGGCTTTTGCACGAGGAAGGTTTGCATTCGCAGGATGACTGCAAGAATTATATGGGACAGTTGTTCAGGCTGAAGCTGCGGCAAATGCCGGCCCACTGGACGGATCATCAAATCACCGATTATATCATGAATGACATGGTCTTGGTGCATCTCGACAACATGGACGACAAATTCAATATGATCGTGTTCATGACGCAAAAACTGTATTACGTGCAGTCGACGAACTTGGTGGAAAACGAGGATCACTTGATGTTGCAGGAGGTGCTGTTGGGTGAGCAATGAGAAAGCATTTGTTAGAATGCATGTAATAATAATACGATACGATATTTCAGGAGGTCATTTGTACAATATCATTCTGAAGGAAAGCTTGAGAACGTATATGGTGAATATGGGGTTCATGCTTAAACAGCTCCTAGCGAAAGATTCAAGCAATGTGATGACGAGGGAAATATTGAGGAAGGCGTCGTATCCTAAGGGATTCGCGGCTGGCGTGGAGATGATCATCCTGACCGGAAATCTTTCGATCAATAACCACAGCGCCGTCGGCCAAAATGTGGGATTGAGCGTGACCGTTGAGAACATCAACAGGATCAGATACATGTCGCATTTCAGGGCCGTCCATCGCGGCGCTTCCTTCATGAAGATGCGATCAACGCAGGTGCGACAATTGACGCCTGATGCATGGGGATTCTACTGTCCCGTCCACACGCCCGACGGCGCCCCCTGTGGTCTCTTGAATCATCTGACGACGAACTGCACCATCACCGACATGCCCGACCGAAAACTAGTGGCGAACATCGCGAGAACGCTTGCTGAGCTGGGCATGGTTCCCATGAAGCAGTCCAATGTCATCGAGAAGAAAGATTATTTCGTGACGCAGTTGGACGGTCGCATTCTCGGTTACGTAAAGAAGGCGGACTCGTCGGAGTTCGAGAAGAAGCTGAGGTTCCTCAAGATCAAAGGGGATAAGGTGCCCAATACGCTGGAGATTTGTATGGTGCCGGATAAGAAACGCGCTCCACAATTTCCCGGGATTTTCCTGTTCTCCGGTCCGGCGCGCATGATGCGACCTCTGCTCAATTTGGCCACGAGCAACATCGAAATGGTGGGCACATTCGAGCAGAACTACCTGGATGTGAGCATCATACCAAGCGAGATTTACCCTGGTGTCACCACGCACATGGAGCTCTCGAAAACGGACTTTTTGTCGCACACGGCCAAGCTGATCCCAATGCCCGACTGCAATCAGTCGCCCAGAAACATGTACCAGTGTCAGATGGCCAAGCAGACGATGGGTACGCCATGCCACAACTTCGATCTGCAGATCGACAAGATCTATAGGCTGCAGACGCCGGCCTCCCCGATATTCCGAACCACCCATTACGACGACATGGACATCGACAGTTTTCCGATGGGGACGAACGCCATCGTCGCAGTCATCAGTTACACCGGGTACGACATGGAGGATGCCATGATCATAAACAAGGCGTCCATCGAGAGGGGATTCGCAAACGGGACGGTTTACAAAACCGAGAACATCGAGCTGGCGGCGGAATGCCATCTTCAGAGGCCGCCCGATCAGCTGGAGGAGTTCATTGACGCGGATGGACTTCCCTACGTCGGCCGTAGAGTAAACAATCAGGAACCACTGTACTCGTACTACGACAACAACAAATCCAAGTACGTGGTGAACAAGTTTTCCGGCGGAAGCGACAAAATTTACGTGCACAAGGTGCGCATAGTGCCTGGCATGAAAATGGCTAGAATGGTGCGAATCACTTACAGGATTGAGGTAATTATTTAAAATATCTTATAAAACGCATCGATTATTCACATGTTTTATTTTCCAGAGAGCACCCATGATTGGTGACAAATTCGCCAGTAGGGCAGGACAAAAGGGTATCTGCTCCAGGCAGTATCCAGTCGAAGATTTACCATTCACGGAATCCGGTAAGCATTTAATCTCATATACCAATTGGTAAGCAATCATTTCATTAATCTATTCTTATTCAGGTATTTTCCCTGACATTATTTTCAATCCTCACGGTTTCCCCTCCCGTATGACAATCGCCATGATGATCGAGCTGATGGCTGGCAAATCCGGAGCCATCCACGGCCTCGTCCACGACGCCACGCCCTTCAAGTTCAACGAGGAGGAGACTGCCATCGACTACTTCGGACGCCTCCTCGAGGCTGGCGGTTACAATTACTACGGTACGGAGTCGATGTACTCGGGCATCGATGGACGCGAGATGAAGGCGCAGATCTTCTTCGGTGTGGTCCATTACCAGAGGCTGCGGCACATGGTCAGCGACAAGTGGCAGGTGAGGTCCACCGGTATCGAAGATGCCGTCACGCGACAACCGATCCAGGGTAAGAAGAGGGGAGGTGGTATCCGTTTCGGAGAGATGGAACGCGACGCCCTCATCAGTCACGGCACCTCCTACATGCTGCAAGATCGTCTCATGAATAGCTCAGATAAATCCAAGGTACTTTAATCAGATCTCAATATTCTTTATGAAGTCTTTCTATTGTTTACTTTTTTTTATTATTATTGTAGGTGTCGATTTGCACGAAATGCAAGAATATGCTGTCCGTATTCCATCCAGCGACGGATAACGCTGCAGGTCCACCGAAATTGGTGTGCGCCTTCTGCCAAACGAGCGACAACATCAGCAGCGTGGAACTGCCGTACGTTTTCAAGCTGTTGGCCATCCAATTGGGATCCTGCAATATCAATCTGCAGCTGGACTGCAAGGAGGCGTGCACTTAAAATATAAATTCTCTTTATTTTAAACGTTAAATTAGGTAATAATGTTGTGTTATATTTTATAAATGCGCGTGCGTTTTTTTTAATTTCATCCCGTAATTCAATCCACCCCCCCCACACCCCGTCGATCATTCGTATTGTTTTATAACGATGTCTCCGATGAGGAGACGCTGGATGTCGCTGATGCCGCCGTAGATCTCGGTGATTCTGGCGTCGCGATAGTGGCGCTCCGCTGGCATCGCCGTCACGTAACCGACGCCCCCAAGAATTTGTATGCAGGAATGAGTGACATGTGTTGCAGCCTCGCTGGCAGCAAGCTTTGCCATCGAGGATTCCTTCGTGGAGCGATCCTCCTCGTCGCAGAGCACAGCTGCCCTGTACACCAGCAGACGTGCAGACTCCAACCTGAGCGCCATCTCTGCTATCCTCATCTGCAAAATTGGTAATCGGTATTGCAATTTTATCGCAAATCGTTGATTATTTTTGGCTCACCTTTACAGCCTGCATCTGATTGATCGATTTACCGAAAGCCTTCCTCTGCGATGCGTAGCCGACGGCCAATTCGAGGGCGGCCTGACCGATTCCCAGAGCTTGGGAAGCGATGCCGACGCGCGCCTTGTCCAGTTGCTTCATCGCCATCCTGAATCCGTCTCCCACCTCGCCGAGCACGTCGTCCTTCGGCACTCGCACGCCCTCCAAGTACATGTTGCAGGAGGGAGCCGCACGGATACCCAGCTTATCGTCCTTGGGCCCCAGGCTCAACCCGTCGCTGCACATCGGCACCAGGAAACCGGTAATACCTAACGAACAATCATTATCATGTGATAAGTGATCAGAATTTAATTCACCTTTGTGTTTAAGAGATCTGTCGACTGTGGCGAATACGACGGCCGCCTTTCCTTCGGTGCCGCTGGTCACCCAGGACTTGGTGCCGTCCAGCACGTAGTGATCACCCTCGAGTCTGGCCGTCGTCAGCATACTTCCAACATCGCTACCGGCATCTTAAACATATATTTCATTAGGTAATTGAAATTAATCACGCAATACTGGTTGCCTAGATTTGCTAGTTACTATCCAATAATACTGCACAAGTAACATTTAAATAATATTTTTGTTTTGTATACCTGGTTCGCTGAGTGCAAAACATCCAAGTGTACCATCAGTGTATGGTTTGAGGAATTGCTCCTTCTGCTGATCAGAGCCAAACCTATTGACCAGATCCACATAGAGGCAGTTATGGATGGAGACTATAGCTCCGGTCCCGCCGCACCCTTTGGCGATCTCCTCCACGGCGACGGCGAGGGCCAGAGTGTCTTGGCCTGCACCGCCCCATCTCTCGTCAGCAGTCACAGCCATCAGCCCCAATTCAGCGAGTTCCTTAATCTGCACAGCAATTAGATTAGAGTAAGTCCTTTCCATTTCCATCATTAAATCTGCAGACCTGTTCGGAGGGGAATCTGTGCTCTCTGTCGAGCTCTGCAGCTATAGGTTTAAGTTTATCTGCGGCAAACCTCTTGGCCACTGCCTGCAAGGCCAGATGGCCTTCGGGCAGTCTGTGCAAGCTGAAGTATCTCAGGCATCTCTTCCTCTGCGTCGCTGCAACGACAATCACGAATTAGTTTGCGGGTCGTGAGATTCGTTGAGTTATTATAATTAGAACTGCAACAGGTTTGCTCTCACCTGTGACGATGCACTTGGATAGCGTCCTGACTGACATCATAGCTCTGCTCTGTGCGTGGCTGGCGGCGCCTCACGCTCGCTCTACGGCTACATTTCCACCTCGCCGCGGAATTGTTTGTTATTTATTCGTTGCGTCTGCCTGGCTAAGGACGAATTACGTGCGAATCGGAATCAAAAAAAAAATGTAGAATAGATTAGATTTGTGGCATGACTTAATTCATTATCAAGGTTGATCGTCGTCACAGAACGTCGTTATCTTTCCTTCGTCCTTGATAGATCGGAAACCAGATGTACGATCGAAACATCTGTTTATTCGATACCTGCAAACAATTAAAACAAACTCGATTCCAAACAACAACAACAATATTTAACATTGTTAATAGGATCCGATACAAATACATTCGTTGCATGAAAATCCCATGCAAATATTTGCGCAACATTTGTCCTGTTTGATCATTGTTTAGAGCGTGATTTGCTAATTCGCTTTCCGTTGCGTAATTTCATGATACCCTTTTGATACGATAACATATGCTAATTCATTGTATTCGAGTTTAATGTTTTGCCTAAGATCTATAGACAACCGACTATATCAAAATCTCGACAAACATAATCCCGACTAGGAATTATGCAATATATTTATTAGACCGAAATGAAATGCGTGAGTTCAAAGTTGATTATTCTTTGAGAGAGAGAGAAGATATAATCTTCGTTTGCAAGCGTTTCCCAAGTTGTTATGTGATCTAATAGGAAAATCGTTTGCACTTGATAATTGCTTATTATTAAGCGTCATCGGTAATTGTTTGCTACTGCAATTACCAATCGTATTTGCGTTTTGCGCACGAATTGTAATTTTGTGAGATATCTAATCGTAGGCTTCGTTAAGTTTCCTTTCTTTCCTATTTATTTCTTCACAGATAAACAAATATATATTCGCTTGTTATCGAAAGGTCGAGTTCATTAGTTGTAGTGGGCTACGTACGATGCTGATGTACTGCAATAATGGACTGATGTGTTTACTGTTGTTGGTAGTTGCTGCTGCTTCTGCATCTGGGAAATGCGTGCAAAAGTCGCAATGCGTGTGCGAAGACACGGAGACGGGTTTGGTCATAGACCTGGAGGATCTTTTCAGTTACGAGGATGATGATGATGGAGATGACGCGTTTTTGAAAGCCGTTGCCGATGATGATTCGACGTACTACTTCCACGGCTGCGTCGACGCCGTCTTCAACGTGGACGTGAAGAACATCAGCGGTGACGAATGCAACGAAAACTCGATCACCGTGAGTATCCTCGCCATCGAATTATAGATAGATTGATTATTTGTTTGTTTTTTGTGTTTAGTTTTGCTACTTTGATGGTGCGACCAGAAAATTGATTCCTGTGGGAAACGCATCGAGTTTCCGTTTCGCCGCCGATCCCAAACACAGTGACTTAACTAACATAGTGTACAAGCAAGAGAAGCAGTCAGTAGTGGATTTAAACAAACTGTACGCAAAGTATTAACTAAGATTCATCTGTTTCAGAGATTTCGTGATCGGTTTGGTCTGTTCTCCCGAATTGCTAAAGCCCGAACTCGTGGTTAAAGAACCGAAGGTACTACAACATATCCGTCTCTGTCAACACATAGTTTTATAATATTGATTTCAGAATCTTATGTTGTACTCGAAATATGCATGCAAAGTTGATGCGAGAGGTCTGAGCGGCGGGAGTCAGCTGTTGATCGCGTTCTTCGTCTGCGTCGCTCTCTACCTGATCTCCGGTATGCTCTTCACGTATTGCGTCGTGGGTGGACGAGGCGTCGAGATGATACCGAATTTGAACTTTTGGAAGCAGCTTCCCTCCTTGATCAAAGTAATTACGAATTTCTCCTTTATTCTCTCCTCTTTATTGCATAATCATCATTTGTTCTTCTTTTATTTATTTGCACGCAGGACGGATTCAAGTTTGTCGTGAGCGGATGCAAAGTGCAGCAAATCTACAATTCGATGTGAATAATAAAAATAAGAATAGTTTCCAAAGTTTATTTTTTTTTAGTCGCCTCTCTTAATATTTCCCTATCTACTATTTAATACATTTCTCAATGAAGATAATTAAATCTTACTTTTTTCTTCTGTTAAAGAATTCAAGAGGAAACAACGCATCGATTTTGACGGAATGGAAGATCTAACCAGTAACGAATCTTTGAAACTAATGGCGAGTACTCTTAAAATCTTGTCGTTTTTTGAATTTGAACTGTGACATATGATTTTTTGTTGAGGTTGGTAATCGTTGAGATTCGATTCAATTTAGATTGGCTTGCGGTTGGCGGCATTGTCATGTGACAGTTCAACTTTTTTTTTGCTGTTGCTGCTTGTCTGCGAGACGGAGAAGAAGGAAGGATCTTTGGTCGGATAAAAGAGAAGAGAATCAGAATTGGCGTGAGACAGAAGTCGATGTTGTGTGGGGATCGTGAATGAAAATCGTATTGGAAAACGCCATCAGCTCTGGCAGTGCGTGCAATTAGAATTCGGCAGGTAAAACTGATTGGGAGAACGTGTACGTGCGTGCGTGAGAGAGAGAGAGATAGATTTAGGGACAAAAGAGTTGTGTGTGCATGAGTGTGTGTTTGGCTGCGCGTGTACGTACGTATATATATTACAAATCACACACACGGACGTTGTCTTCCATTCGAAAATCACCACAATCATCAACATCTCTGTATCTCGCTCGCTCTCTGGCTGTTACCGTTTTGCGTGTGTCGTGTTTTGTGTGTGTTTCGGTGGTGTATTCCTTCCTATCCACTCTCATAAACTCATCATCATTATCGTCATTATTAAGCATCCGTCTGTATCCCAAAGATATTCGTGTCAGGCTGTGTGCATGAAGGTTAAAACGTGTTCCCAATCGAATTCCACGTTAGCCGCAAGAGGAAGCACTCTGACAGCGACGTGATGAGCAAGAAGAAGCACCAGGGCGATCCGTCGTCCGGAGTCGCGGCCACCTCGGATCGGTCGGACTGCAGCTCGGACGAGTACAACCATGGCAACGGTAGGGGAGGTTCCGGAGTGCAGTGTTCGCACGCCCACAGGGCCGTCGATCTGGGCAAGATTAAGAAGGCCCTGCAGAAGGACGGCGGTCTGCGATCCGACTGCGACGACTGCAAAAAGAATCCACCAGTATCGTTGTCCGGAACGGCAACGGAAGAAACTGTGGTGGCCACATCCGAAGCAGCGACGACCAGCCTCCTTCCGCAAGATATGCCCGATCTGGAGTCGGTCATCTTCGAGATCGACGAATCCCTTTGGATGTGCCTAAAGTGCGGACACCAATCGTGCGGTCGTTACAAGAACAGCCACGCTCTGCAGCACTTCCAGACGCCACGCTCAGACTGCCACAGCATCTGTTTGAACACCACGAAATGGTCGATCTGGTGCTACGACTGCGACGAGGAGCTCAACATCACCGTCACCAAGAAGATGCTCGAGTGCGTCGAGTATCTGAAGAAGCAATCGGAGGGCGGTAAAAAGAAGAACAACAACAACTTGAACAATTCCGACTCCAATAAGGATGTCGACAACACCGGTGCCAGCAGTAAAGTGATTTGCGTGATCGACGAGAAGACGTCACTGGCATCATCGTCGTCGAGTTTCGTCAAGGATGAGGTGCAGATACCGGGCGTCGGCGATCTGCCGAAAGCGCGAGGACTCTCGAACCTGGGCAACACGTGTTTCTTCAATTCTGTGATGCAATGTCTGGGCCAGACTCCGTACCTGCTCAACCTTCTGGAGGAGACCTCCAAACCGGGACAATATTTCAAGCTGCCCGGAGGAAAACTGACGCTCGACGAGAAGACCAACGAGTCTGTAGAGTTGGACCCTCTGGATGGTAAGTTGATGGTATGCCGTTTTATTATCTGAATTAACAAAGTGATGATGATGATGATGACGAGTCGGACTTTTCAATTAATCATATATCTGTGATATGTTTGCAGGTGAATTGGAAGAGTGGAAGCCGTTGACGAAGGTGCTTGCCGAGACATTGAGGGAACTGCAGAGTGGTCGGCCGGAGGTGCACAATCCTCGCATGCTCCTCTCCAGGCTGACGCAGAGGATGCCGCAATTCGGCGGTGGCGATCAGCACGACTCGCACGAGCTGTTGCGGCATCTGCTGGAGGCGGTGCGCGAGGAAGATTTGCGCCGATACCAGTCGGTCATTCTGCAGAAGTACGGTCTGGTGAAGGCCGATCCGGCCACCGTCAAAGGTAACACCAAGAAGATCATCAAATACTACGGATCGCAAGCGTCGGAGCTGCTGCTGCCCACCGAGCAGGTGTTTCGAGGTGTCCTCGTGAGCACGCTGCAATGCCAGGACTGCAACCACACCTCGCATCGCGACGAATTCTTCCTCGATCTGAGTCTTCCCATCTCCGAGAAGCAGACGCCGCCGGTGCTGAGGCGCAAGGCGGACGAACTGGACGACAACAAAACCTCCAAGCATCAGATCAAGAAGGAGAAGCGACAGGCGAAGAAGAACAAAAAGAGCAAGCACCATCAAAAGCAGATAGCCGTTGCGTCCGCCTCCACCGCCGCAGACAACCAGACGAACTCTGCCTCGTCCCCTTCGATCGACAAGTACTGCTCGGACAGCGAGTCGGACGCGGACGTCGAGGATAACATCGAGGTTCGTAAATGACAACATGTTTAATACGAATCTTGAAATGTTTCATTCTTTCAGGACTCCAATAATGGCAGGTCAATGGATGAGGGACCATCGAAGGGTACCGAATCTGGATACAATTCGGATAAGAACGGCATCAGTCCGGACAACGCATCGCCCGACATGATCGTCGGTATGCTGAGCGTGTCGCCGTTGGGTAATGCAAGTCCAGACAACAGCGCGGCCTCCAGCGAAACGAACATCGATATGGGTAGTCCGACGTGCGGCAGAAATACACCCAACGAGTGAGTTGACTACATTTCTCCTATTCCATTGCAATCAATTTTACATGTTATTTATTGCATGTATTTAGGATGGACGATGAACTGACAAGACCCGCCTCTCTTTTATTCAATACGAAGAACAAAAGCAATGATCTCAAAGCTGACTTGGAAAAGCTGTCTCTGAAGAACGAGCTCAAAACTGAGGACGGCGCGTGCGGTGGCGTCGGACTCAACGACGAGGATGAGGATGAAGATGAAGAAGATGAGGACGACGACGAGGACGAAGAAGATGATGAGAAGGTAATTACTATTACTAATTTATTTCTATTGCTGCTGTTTCACACTTGCTGTTTTTATTTTTTGTAGATGGAAGTCGATGACGAGGACATGTGGTGCGGCACGATATCGGACCGTTATCATATAGAGGACGGCGAGTGTTCGGTGCAGTCGTGCCTTAACCAATTCACCACCTCCGAGCTGATGACGGCCAACAATAAGGTCGGCTGCGAGCTGTGCACCAAGAGGCACGGCGGACCCGACAAGAAAACCGTCTACACGAACGCCCGCAAGCAATTGCTCATTTACAATCCGCCCGCCGTGCTCATTCTCCATCTGAAGAGGTTCCAGGTAAGACGAATGACACATACAATGTGCGCAAACAATACAGATCTCCTCATCTTCCTCCAGGTATATCACTTTCGTCCGTTGAAGATGTCCAAGAACGTCAAGTTCCCGATCGTCCTGGACATAGCGCCGTTCTGCTCGAAGCGCTCCAAGAACCTGCCGACGTTCACCGCCGGCCAGAACCGCGTGCTGTACTCGCTTTACGGCGTCGTCGAGCATAGCGGAACGATGCACGGGGGACACTACGTGGCGTACGTCAAGGTGCGACCCAAGCTGGACGACGACAGCTACCGTTGGGGATTCCTCCCCAAGAATCAGAGACGCGACAAGGGTGGTGCAGTCGGTAGCGGCAGTTCCCCGCCCCCGAGCGAACCGCAAGCTCCGCCCGGCAAGTGGTACTACGTCAGTGATTCGTTCTCCTCGGAGGTGGCCGAATCCAAAGTGCTCAACGCGAACGCGTACCTGCTCTTTTACGAACGCATCCTGTAGTAGTGAAGAATACCACCTAAATGATATACGAATGGATTAGAAAGAGAGAAGACAACATCCGGAACCAGACATCTATCACATCCTACTACTACTGCTGCTCCTGCTGCTGCTACTCATCCTTCCGTCCCGCTCCACCTCCTCCTCCAAGTTTGTTCCTTTATTACTATTTTCTTCAATCTAATTTTTAATCGATTTAGACCTTAAAAACAAATCCTCGTCTACGCCTACCCAACACCCTCAACCCCTCTTTCATCTATTCCAATTTCAATTATTTTCATTTGATTCGCTGATAATAATCAGGTGTTGTTTCCAATGGTTTTGATAATGACAATTTCTCTTCGTTTTACTTACCTCTCTCCTTGATGAATCGAAGACTATTATTTATATGCATATACATATTATATATATATACATACATAGATTATTTACTACCACACTTTATTACTTATATATTTAATGTTACTAATATCTAGAGAAAAACGACAAGAACACTATGAATCAACATAATCCATCCCCTCTCCCACTCCTCCACCTCTAAACTGTCCAGTTTTTTATTAGTGTAATTGATTGTTTTTTGTTTTTTTTTTTAAATTAATTAATTTATCTTCCATCCGCCCGACATCCGAAGACATAGTGAATGAAGGTGGGTGGAAGTAGGCAAGTAAGAGAACGAAAATAAATATGTGTATATTATGAAATCGGAATGAAGGAGAATATATTTATATTATTAGAAGTAATGGAATAAAAATAGAATTATAGTTTTTATTTCCTCTTTTTTTTGTTTTCTCGTTAAGTAGGCAACTTTACGAACGTGTCGCAATCTATTTAACATTAGCGTTAGAGATTTGCATGAATGTATATCTATTTGGATATTATTATTTGTTTATAATTTAAATGATCTAAATTGTAAAGGATTCACTGGATCGGGTGCTAACGGTATTATCTAAAATTTTAATTTGAATTATTTTTGTTTGTGCAGGCAACCAGTTGATCGAGGAGGATGAGGAGGAGGCGACGCTTCGCGGCCGTATCGGGCATCCTATTTGACAGTTGCGTTTGGGAATTTGTTGAGTAGTCGAGTTTACCGAAGAAGAAGCGGTGCAGAGGTGTAAGGAAAAAAAGAATAGAGAGAGAAGAGAGAGTGAGCAAGTAGTGTTGGTTTGAGTGGTGCGAAGGAAACGGTGAACGGTTTCGACTATTGATAGGAGGTAGAGATAGCAGTGTTGAAAACAAAGTGTGCGGCGACCAACGTTTGTGTGCTCTTCTAGTGTTTCACAGTGTCTCATTCATCTTCTCCTGCTGGACACGATCGGAACGGTGGAGTGGAGTGTGTGGAGAGTATCAAACGACGGTTTGTTGGGACCCGGTGATCGAGGAGAAGGAGCCGAGGCGGCTGCTGCTGCTGCTGCTGTCGCGGAGGAAGGTAGGACGACGATCGACGTCGTCTTCTTCGACGAGGTGGAGCTGTGGAGTAGCAGCAGGAGTAAGAGGACGACTTGCGCTCTCCTCAACATTAACGTCGTCGTCGTCGTCAACATCGCCGAAGCTTCGGTGCGACATTCCTGGAAACTATGAAGAGACGAAATGCGGAAGTGGGTAAAATGAGGAGGCCCATGAAGAAGAACAAAATCAGCGAGGGATTCTACGGAAGGTATGTGTGTGTGTGTGTCAGTGGTGTTCATTCTTTCGTGCATTTAGACTGTGAGCGTGCGGCGCGTTGCACCCGGTGCGCCGATCACAGTCTCTGTACTCCTCTCGCGTCTCCCCAGGAGACGAACACGGCAACGATCACCCAGCAACGCTTGCATTTCCTCTCGGTTGTTTCTTCATTCATCGTAAATGCACCCCCCCAAAAACAAAACAAAAAACAAAAAAAATAATATGCATCTGATGCAACTGTTTCGCATTTCGCCATAGGTTATAGACATCGTCGACCTGTCAAAACAAAAAACATTCTTTTCTCCGTATTATCCATCTCTTCATCATCCTCCACCTAATCTTTCAATTAGCCGACTCGCAGCTTTCTCGAGTTTGATTTTGCTGCGAGCCGCACGTTGTTGTTGCTGTTGTTGTTTTTTTCTTCTCTTTTAATTTCTGAAATTTATTTCATTTTGGATCTTCGCGATCCGAATACGGTTAGAAAACTGTCGCAATCGAAACTGGCTCTCGCCCCGTACATGCAACAGCTGTTTGCCGATGAGATGAGATGCGATGCGATGTGACCAAAATAATAATAAGAGGGAGAGAGAGAGAGAGAAAAACAAGCAAAGACATCATAGTACCATATAATTGCACGCACTTATCATCATCATCCCTGATGCAATCCAAAAACATTTGCCAATCTATTTCTCGTCTCTCTCTCTATCTGTTTTCACTTGTTTTGCTTTTAAATGAAGACGAATTTAAGTAATATTACGTTTCAAGCAACAACTGAAAAAAAAATTGAATTTCCAATTAGAATCCATTTGATTATTATGTATGTCTACCCTTTTCTGACTAGGTAATAAAGTAGATAAGATTAGTTGTGGAGCAGATGTTTACATACTTTCAAATTCACGGCGCGTTTTGAAATGTAAATTTATGGAATATTTCGATTAAGTTACATCACATCTCTTAGTCACGTAAAATTGTTGATCGTTTTTTGGTGTGGTTTATATTATTGGGGAAAACGTAAGGATTAATTCATTTTGTGGTAATTTTTATTGCTTGTTTGTAATAGATGATAATTACCTTCCGGCCGGCTCTTATTAAAAGGATTATCATTAATTAATTGGTCGTGCGGCATGCGGCGAATTAATTAATCTAATTGAAATATGTTTATTATTTATTCGTAAAAAGTGTGCTTAATTCTAATTAGGTTTTTTTGTTTTTCTTTGTCTTTGCAGTACGCTGTTGTACCTGAAGTTCCTGGTGCTTTGGGCGCTTGTCATCCTTGCAGACTTCATCCTCGAGTTCCGTTTCGAGTTCCTATGGCCGTTCTATCTGCTGCTCAGATCCGTGTACGACTCTTTCAAGTATCAGGGTCTCGCATTTTCCGTGTTCTTCGTGTGCATCGCCCTCACCTCTGACATGCTGTGCTTCTTTTTCATACCTGTCCATTGGCTCTTCTTCGTCGCTAGCACTTACGTATGGGTGCAGTACGTGTGGCACACGGACAAAGGAATCTGCGCACCGACGATCGTCCTCTGGATACTGTTCGTCTATCTGGAGGCGGCAGTCCGGTTGCGCGACGTCAAACACATGCCGGGTCTTTTGGATCTGTGCCGCCCATTCGCCGCCCACTGCATTGGTTACCCGGTGGTCACACTGGGATTCGGCTTCAAGTCGTACGTGGGCTTCCGGATACGGCAGCGGAAGCAGCGAGACGTCGCCAAGGAGAACGAGTTCTATCTGCAACTGATGCAGCAGGCGCTGCCCGTCGACACGTCCACCACCACGACGGGGACGACGGCGGCGGCGGCGGCGCCCACCGCAACCGCTGCTGCAGGCGCTGTCACAGCGGCGGTCAACCACGCGAACGTTACTGCTGCCACCACCGCAACGACGCTCACCACCGCGACGGCGTCGTTGCAGGTATCGCACGAGTCGTCGGCCTCGACGTCGCCACATCCGGTCACACCGACAGCGACGGCCTCCAACAATAATAACAACAACAACAATAGCACGTCCGTTTCCTCCTCATCGTCGTCGTCGTCATCCAACAAGCAAACGGGGAAGCAGCATAACGAGCGGAACGGTCATCTGCCCAACGGAGGGTTACCAAACGGCGTACAAAAGTCGCATAGAAAGGCGAACGCCGCTGCTGCAGCTGCTGCGGCGGCGGCTGCAGCGGAGAAGACGCCAAGGGACGTGGAGCATAGCAGGAACGGTGCAGCGATAGGTGCAGGTGCGGAAGAAGCTCAGCAGACGACGCAGGAGACGCCCGAACCAATCAGACAGCCGAGCTCGACGAGTCGCAGGAAAGAGAAGAAGGAGCAGGATAAGGAGCGCGAGAATGCGGAATATCTGCAGCGACTCGAAACGGAGTCGAAGAAGCTTCGCAATGACCTCACACACAGTCGCGCCAGCGAACAGGAACTCAGACTCCAAGTAATGACCGATCCTCAACATCTCCTGAGTGTTTCATATTATTAACTATTTGGATACGTTCTCGTTTCAGGTTGCTTCCTTGACGACAATGGAGAAGGTGTCGCGCGGCGAGTTGCTGACGATGCATCGCGAAGTCGACGAGCTTCAGAACAAGCTGCAGAGCTGCAACAGCATAAAGGCACAAGACAAACAGACAATCGGTAATCTGGAGAGGAGGATAACGGAGGAGAGACGCGCCCGAACGTTCGCCGAGAGTCAGCTGCAGCAGGAGCGCAAGACCAGAAAACACGAGGAGGTCAGAGCGGCGCAGGTAAAGAGAAGAACGAATTGAATTGAATATGAGGTTTTTGATGGTGCGTTTCTTCTTCTTTTTCTGCTACAGGTGGCCGCGCAGAACGTGAGGGGCGAATGCACGGACGCGTGCAGACAGCGGAGACGCGATCTCGAAGGAGAGATGTCCAATTTAAAGACGAACCAGGTGTGGAACGAGGAACGGATCGCACTTCTGGAGCGCGAGAACGGCAACCTGAGCGAGCAGCTGCGAGACACGGAGAGGTTCGTCTCGGCGCTGAACGCGTTGCAGGAGACGAACGTTCACCTGGAGAACTCGCTTTCGGCGGAAACTCGCATCAAGTTGGACCTCTTCAGCGCACTAGGCGAGGCCAAACGTCAGCTCGAGATCAAAGAAAGTAAGCGTACTTTACTAAACTATATACCCAACTATTTATGTATGTATGATTTTTTTTTTGTGTGTAATGTTCGTAGGTTGTCTGAAGGGGCAAGAGAAAGAGATCAAAGAGCTGAAGAGCAAAATCGCGCAGGTTCTGGCCGTGATGCCGAACGACACGTTCGGCAGTCCGACGCCGAGCAGCACGATATCGCGGGTCCGATTGGCCGAGAGTCCACCGGGATCGACGCTCGACCCGAACGCCACGGCCTACACACCCAAGGGCTCCATGGTCGCAGCATCCACGGAGGCATGATACGTAATCAGACATACTAAACGATTTTAACACAAACCCAACAACCAACACCGCCACCACCAACAACTACAGCTACAGCAGCAACAACAACAACAAAACCTTCCACCAACTACAATAACATCTGTATTACTACTACTACTGCAGCAACAGCATCATCATCATCATCAGCTGCTGATGCTACAGATAACATTGACGATTCTCCTCTTCGATCTCGAGATTCGATCAACAAAAACAGCTAACAAAACAGACCGTTGATCCCGCCTACCGTCTATTTAGCTCCTCCCTCCTCTCCGTTTCAACTAACGAGAACTTCCTTTCCCCCGCCCCCTTCACAAAATAATAGACACACACACACATCTACATCTAAAAATTAATAATTTCTCTCTCTAATTTCTTTAAAACGTTCGCTTTTAAGTTCATCTCATTTCTCCCTCTCACAATTGTACATAATATGAAGGTCATTCATTTTCATTTCTCTCCAACGTCCACCCAAATGTTGCTTATCAACATTATTATTATTATTCCCACATTTATTTAAATCGTTACTAATTTTCTTTATAAAAAATACTTTTTATTATAATTTTTTTTACGAGTTACTTTTGCTTTGTACATTAAACGTGGAATGTTGTAGGACGCAAAGTGTACGTTTCATCATCATCATCATCAATACGGCAAGAATCTCCAATCGTTTCGCTTTTATCTAATTATTTCGTGATTATCTCTCTCTCTCTTTACAGTGCAGCTTTATTATTATTATTATGTTTTTTTTTTCTTCTTTATTTTGACCGAGATCGTGTGTTCTCTTAAGAAAGAAAGAAAGTAAGAAGCAGAGAGAAAGATTTAAGTGCTGCTGCCGCTGCCGCTTCTTTCGTTCATCTAATTATTACGGTATTTGGTAGCTTATTTAATGTGATATATATATATATTTACTAATTATCGACGTTTTGATTGATTTACGACAGTACCTAAACAACGTTAAACTGAACTTTAAAAGTTTAATGAAATATACAAATATATATGTATTTAAATTCAAGATTTCGAAAGGAAAGTTCAAAATTTGGTTGTTTTGTCAAGACAAACTCCACTTTAGAGTGTGTCTTTTCGACTGTTGATGATCTCTCGGTGCCACATTTGTATTAACTATTTTTTTTTGTTTTGTTTTCATTGTTCATTTGATTCCCTTAAGCTTCCTGATTTAATTTCGATTTGTTTTTCATTTTTCATCATCATCATCATCGATGAATGAGATTAAGTTTTTTCACAATTTTCATTTGTGTGTTCTCTACTCGATGCAGTTCCCATCCATCCATCCCCAATCATCATCCTCCATCGACTGCTAGAAGGAAAAGAAAAAAAATATCAGTTTATTTATTGTACTTAATCGTTAAGTGAATCTGTGTTAAGTTCTTTACTATTATTATTATTTTTTTTTTAAAGAAATCGAAGTGACAAAGTTTCTCTTTTGTTTTGTTCCTTTTGTTTTCTTTATCGAATTTGATTTTCGTCCTTTTATTATTATTATTTTTATTATTATATGTTGTTTTCTTTTTTTTTTGGTACAAAATACAACTGCGAATAGCATTTATATTTATTTATTTTATTCTTTTTTTTATTATTAATAATTTTTTTGATTTCGATTGAGTTTCTACGATGTACGTTGATATTGTAATAGTTGTTGTTGTTGTTGTTTGTTGGCACGTATCTTCCGCTCCTTTCGAATCAAACTCGATTGATTGATTCGATTCGATTGACTTTTATTTCCGAATCGACGCGAAATCGCCCAATTTTTACTTCCCCCTCATCGATTATTGTCCGGCATACATTTATAATTATTACACTTATTGTTAACAACAATCATACTTTGTGTTTCCACGCCGACAGTAGGCATGGTAACCGTAACAAAAGATGATGGAAATATAAATAAATCTATATATATATAAATAAATAAAAATAAATGAATATGAATACGATGACGTATATATATATATAGTGGCGAAGAACGAAAGGAATCAATTAATAAAAATGCGAATGAGAAGCGACGTGATTTTTGTGTTATTGCTGAACCGATTCAAATTCAAACTTTCGAGTTTGCTCCGGGCGCCGCAGGTGGCGCTTCGTTTCGATGTAGCGGGAATCGAAGCGTCGAATGGTGGTGCAATTGACTAACGCGGTACTGTTGCTGCGCAGTTATTTCCTCGGCGTCGTTTGAAATGTTCGCGTTAAAGTCGAGCGCACAATTTCTCTGCATTTTCCAACCAGATTTCCTATTGCAAACTACGAAAAGTGTGCTTCAAGTGCATCGACGAGTTTTCCGGTGAGTGGAAAAACGTATTTTCCTATTGGAAAAACGTATTTCCCTATTGGAAAAACGTATTTTCCTATTGGAAAAACGTATTTTCCTACTGGAAAAACGTATTTTCCTATTGGAAAAACGTATTTTCCTATTGGAAAAACAGATTATAAAATCGTAAGTTTCCTTCCGCCATTTTGCAATTTTTTTTTTATTAACGTAGTACATTTGAATCATTTGCTCTTCCGTTATTCATATTTTTCGTGAAGAATTTTGTTTTTTTACAATGGACGAATCGAAAATACTTTGCTTTTTTTTTGGTTGCATTTAATAATGTGGAAAAAAAATTCTTATTGTATATAGAGTTGCATAATTTTAGTCTCAAATTTCAATCCAATAAGGTGTCCAGTTTGTTTTGTGTAATTGCTGAACAGATTCGAATTCAAATTTTCGAGTTTGCTCCGAGCGCCGCCAGGTGGCGCTTCGTTTCGATGTAGCGGGAATCGAAGCGTCGAATGGTGGTGCAATTGACTAACGCGGTACTGTTGCTGCGCAGATATCTCTTCGGCGTCGTTTGAAATGTTGGCGTTAAAGTCGAGCGCACAATTTATCTGCATTTTCCAACCAGATTTCCTATTGCAAACTAAGAAAAGTGTGTTTCAAGTTCGTCGACGAGTTTTCCAATAGGAAAATAAGTTTTTCTACTACTTATTTTCCTATTGGAAAAAATTGATTATAAATTTCAAAAAACTCTTAAGTTTCCTTCCGCCATTTTGTAATTTTTCTTTTTATTAACTTTTTTATTGATTGCATTTAATAATGTGGCAAAAATTTTTTTTTGTTGTATATAGAGTTGCATAATTTTAGTTTCAAATTTGAATCCAATAAGGTTGCGAGCATAACCTATTAGTATTCAGTGATAATCGCTAGAAATATGTTTAAGTCCGCGGTTGTGATTAGAGTTTTCAATAGAAATTACAGTAAATTTCGGGCCAAATACAAAGAAACCAACACTCCTTCAGCTGTGAGTACATTTGCATCATTATTCATTTTACTATTGAAGAGGTTATATTTCAAATTTATGTTTATATTTGATTTGTTCAGAAAAAGAAATTGGCAACTTACAAAGCGTTGGAGCACTTTGATGATTTCTACAAGCAAGTGTATGGGTCCAAGTGGCAACTCATCCGCAGTGGTCTGCTGTGCAAGCAGAAGTACATTGCTGTGGTCAACAACTACTCGGACACTGAGGAGATATGTGCTGGCCTTGAGGCGAGGGGAGCCATCAATGTGAGCAAGATTTTTAAAGCAACTGCGATGACTCTGAAGGATGACAATGTGAAGGTGGAAAGGCAGAAAAGTCTTGATAAAATTTATGAAATGGATAAGGAACAGCCTGATGTGGTGGAGAAGGAGGACAAACCTCAAAAGGCAGAGCGGAATTTTTCGCTGCAGAAAAGCTTGGATGAGGCTGAGATTGATACTAGCAGGATCATAAATGCTTCCAACTCTTTGTCACTTGGTGGTCTTCACGAGTTTATACCTGCAACTAAGATTAAAGGAAGGGAAGATTTTATCTTGGAATCAGATCATTTTAGGTAATGATATTTGTGTTGTTAGAATTTTGAATCTAATTTAAATTTAAATTGCAGGTATTATTCGAAGAGCAGCGAGTTTCCTTTGAAAATCGAACGGGAATACAAATTGGAATTTCCTGAGAATCTGCACGTCTACTGTTACGAGGAGGAGAATCTCACCGAGTTTCCGCACCCGAAGAGCGGATCCACGGGAGTTCTGAATTATTATTTGATGGATGGTGCGTCTCTGCTGCCCGTCTTGGCTCTGGATTTAAAGCCTGGCGTGCGAATGCTGGATGTTTGCTCGGCGCCAGGTGGAAAGAGCTTGATCGCCCTGCAGACTCTTTACCCGGACGCTATCGTTTGCAACGATTCCAGCATATCCAGAACGAACAGGATCAAAAACGTTTTCAAGCAGTACTTGTTCGATTTCGATGAGAAATGGATAAAGACCGGTAAGATTAGGATCAGCTGCGCTGATGCCCGATATATGGGAATGGGGGAGGAGTATGATAGAGTGCTGGTGGACGTGCCGTGCACCACGGACAGGCACTCCGTCAATGAGGATGACAATAACATCTTCAAGGCGGATAGGATCAAGGAGCGATTGAAGTTGCCCGAGTTGCAGAGCGAAATCCTCTTCAACGCGCTGCAGATGGTCAGTGTTGGGGGCACTGTTGTATATTCTACGTGCTCTTTGAGCCCCATTCAGAATGATGGAGTGGTGCACATGGCTTTGAAGCGACTCTGGGAGGAAACCAAAATCGAAATGGTTGTCAAGTGAGTAAATCCTTTCTTGTGAATTACAGTATCTGAATATATTTTAATATCTTTAAAAAAATATTTTTAGGGATATGACAATGGCTTTGAGGCAGGTGAAGCATGTGTACAAGATGGCAAGTCCCAGGTTGATGAAGTTTGGACACCAGGTTGTGCCCAATTCAATGCAGAACTTTGGTCCATCATACTTTTGCAAGTTGCAAAGGATCAAGTGATCCTGACCAAGGCTGTATCTAATAGGTATAGTAATATTTTTATATATATATATAATAGACTTTATTTATAAACGAGATAGTGAGCATACTGGAGAATAATATATAAAAAAGAAAACATAATAGTAAAACAAACGTAATTGCATTTAAACAAAGAAAATTCAAATGAAACAGTGAGAAAATGTATATATATATATATGTATGTATAAAATATGAAATTAGACTCAACGTATATATGTATTATGTTTTATATATATA